AAAACCAAAGGCTGAATGTTTTCTTTGATAAGAGAATGCTGATCCATAATGGGGATGTGGGGTGGAGGAACTTTAGGGCTAAGGGGAGGGAGGGAAAGGAGGGGAAAGCGGGTAGGAATGATGGTGCAATGAGTTAGACATCATTACCCTAAGTACATGTTTGAAGACATGAATGGTGTGAAAATACTTTGTGTACAATCAGTGACTTGAAAAAATGTGCTCTGTGTGTATAATATGAAATGAATTGCATTCTGCCATCATGTATAACAAATTGGAATAAATAAATAATTTAATTTTTAAAAATAGACATGTTCTTTGTCTTCCTCTCTCCTACTTCCTTCTTAATCTCTCCCCTTTCCTAATCTCTGGGGAAACAGGATTGCCTTTTTTCCTCATCCTAGGCAGATTTATCTGTCCGTGAGTGCACATCCATCACAGGAACAAAGTAATCCAGACTTTGGGAATGGAACCAGATGATCTCAGAAATGACTCTCAAATTAACAAGTGAATCAAACTCCAACACAGAACAGTGGAATGTAGCCCTTGAGTCACCTCTTTAAAAGCCCCGTTTTCCTGCTGATGGGCAGAATCACAGCCTTAAGGACACAAGTCCCCTGTGTTTCTCCTTTGCTAGCAAAGCAATAAACCTTCTTTTTCCTTTTTCTCAAAATTGGACTTTTGGCAACACTTCCAGATAGCAGCTCAAAACAGTTCATGAGAACACCTGTCATTGTCATCAAGACCAGGCTGTATGTGAAGCCACAAGGCCAATGACATCCCGGGTCAACTTTTCCAGTCCTCAATCCTGCCAGCCATCAGACTAGAACGTCCCACTGCGGGCCTGCTCCTCTCACTTCCTGATCCTGCAGATCTGGGAGCTTGTCAACCTCCACCATTGTGTGAGCCCATTTCTTAGAATAAGTCTCTTTCTGAATGTATTCACATCTTATTGGTTCTGTTTCTCTGGAGAAACCCAAGTAAAACAGCAACATCCCAAGATCAGCAGAAATTTCAGGAGTCCTGAGGAATTAATGCAAAAATGTACCCTAATGGAGGCACTCGATACCAACCCCGCCGCCCGGAGTCTACTCCTGCCTTTTCCCTCCCYGTCCCCTCAGGTTGACTTCAGGATGGAGATATGGAGTGGGGCTGGTGTTAGGTGGGTGGTTACCCCCAAAAGCCAGGATGTGTGCCAAGTTATGTCTTCAGGAATACCAAGCACTACTCCAACAAAGCACTGAGCTTAGAGAGAACAAGTCAGGAGAGTCAGAGCAGGAAGCAGGGGCTAGGGGAGGAGAGAAGCAAAAGAAACAGTTTCTGAGACAGGATTGGTGCAAGCAAGGCTCGGCTTGCCCACTGAGGGGTAGGCCTGACTTTAAGGTCCATTTCTATTCAAGGATAGGTCTTACAGGCAGTCGTCTCCATTTCAAAGGCTCCTGCCAGCCAGGATTTCTGCTTCCTTGAGGCCTGGCCCTTGGGCTCACACATCCCAACCACAAACAGTGGTATTGAATCCAAGATCCCACAGGCAACCATCAACCAGGACACAGGATGATAGTCCAAGTCCTCAATCAGGGAAAGTTGGGCAGAGATCAGTCATTCCAGTACCTTAAATTAAGAGGTCAGTGTGAGCCTAGGGCCTCTGTCGGCCATGTTTGGGGAATTGGCTTAAGCAGAAAAATGGAGCAAAAGCATGTGAGAAGTCATGTCTCCTGTCATTGCTTGAGTCCCTGGACCCAGCCAAACCTCCTKAACTATGCTGAGCTTTGCAGTTATAGGAACCAATAAATCCCATTTACATGAAGGCCCATTTGAGTTCTGTGTCTTGCAGCTGTTAGTACCTGGCAGTAACTCTGCAGTTCCCAGCCCTCTGGGTCCTTCCACCTAATGACCTGTTCCACCTCTCCAGTGGATGTCACTGCTGCTGAAGGGCAGCAGCTCAGTACTCCCCAAAGCCACACCCTTCCCTCTTCTACTTCCCTGCCATGAATCCCAGCATTCTCTCAACAAATCTCACCCATTCTTCAAGCCCCAATGAAATTTCTTCTGCCTCAGGAAGCCCCTTCCTTGACTTTCAGGTTTCCTGCTGCCTGGCAGCTGGATTGGAAAGCCCTCAAGGATGGGGCTGTGTGTTAATATCCTGCACCCTCCGCATTGGGYCCAGTATATTTGGTGAATGAATGTTGACCCTCTGGCCTAATGAACCTAAGGACAAGAAAGGCCTGTTAACATAATAGAAATTGTATGTGTGCGCTCACATGTGCAAATTTCCCTTGCCCCCATGATCATGAGGCAAACAAGTGGGAAAGAATAAGGGACACCCTCTCCCCACTACAACAAAGCCTACACCGAGCACCCCAAGGTGATTCCGGAAGCTAACTCTCCACCAATAGGGGAGGCACTGGAATTCTGAACGAGAGCGCCCCAAGACAGGTGGAACACAGCGGGCATCGGGGCCACGTGTTCCATCTCACCACAGGGAAGGTCCCTTACAGGGCCAGTTGCCATTTTCTAGAGACAAGGACAGGAACCTCTCAACAGGGCTGCCTACAGGTTCTGCACCCCCAGGTCCCACTCTCAGGGACCTGTATAGCTCCTGAAACAAGCCGTAACACAATTGACCATTCCCACATGGTTAGGCTGAGGAGTCTCTCCACCTGTCCTTCACCACCACGTGTCCTGCGCAGTCAAATGTGCAGGCCAGTCCTCCATCACTGGGGTCAGTGAACTCGTTGCTGAGGGGGCTGTCTTCTCCCACAGCAGTGAAGTCAAGCACTACAGTGAGGAACCCAGTAGTTCTTAGTTCCCAAACCTCCATCCCTAACAGAGTGCCTTCATGTCCGTGTACCCACCAAAAAGTAGTCACGTTCTTTCTTCCACACACTGCCCAACCTTCATCAAAGTGCTACTCCYACAAAAAACTGCACAAAGAGGAAGACTGCAGGCTATTTGAAGACAAGGGCCAGGAAGTTTATTAGTTCCGTTGTGTCTCCCTATAGAACCTTGTGACTCATTAGCATAGTGACCCAGAGCATGTTCAACTGTGGGTGAGATGCCAGCTGGAGAGCCTCTGGGTGTGTGGTGAGGACATCCTTTCCCCTTGGCAACCACCACTTCCTGTTTCCCAAGGGCTTTTTAGTGCCCCTCATGTGCCCCACCGAGGTCCGCAGTTGACTCTACCTTCCAACTGTGGAGTATGAATGCTCGCGGATCTGCAAGGACTGGGGTTACTGGGTCCCTACCTAGCCCCTGGCTGTGACTGCTGCTTCCCCCCCTACTGGGGTGTCAGTCCCATCTGTCCCACCTTCTCACATTTTACACATTTCCTTCACACTGTCATGCCCWTGGAGCTGGGTGCCCCCCTTTCCTCTCCCTGTGGCTTTTAGGGCATTCCATGGGCCTTCACCCCTTCTCCCACCAGGTCCTGGTCCCCAGTGCGGTGTTGTCCTTGCCATCCCCTTGGTGGGAATGTCCTCTCCCCCTGAAGCTGCCTGCTCCTCTCCTCTGGAACGGCGCTGTTTCTAGCTGTCCAGCAGACACCTCACTTCCCTCCACAAGGCACAAGGCCATCTCCTGAACTAAGGACATCAAAATCCCGGGAGACAGGATCCTGCCAATCACCGTGTTTCTCATGGAGGCTAATGGTGAGTTGTGCATAACACAAGGGACCCTTCATATGAATGTCTGAGCAGGCAGAAGAGAACAAATTCCCAGCTCCTAATAAAGACGTGTACTCTCCCCAGGAAAAAAAAAAAAAAAGGCCATCTAAATCGGTCGCTCCCCAAGGAAGCCCTAAGCCCTCTGTCACATACACTGGGGCCCAGGCTGTGGGTGGAGAACGGAGTGTGAGCAACACTAGTTCCCAGCAGCACCCGGAAACGACCCCTACAGGTCATCCTGGAACCACTTACTCCCAGGCCTCCCAGCATTGCGTCCTATGGCATCAATGAAAGGGCAGCTCTTCTGAAGCCACGGCTGAAGCCTTCCTCCCCACAGTGAGGTCCAGCAGCTCTCCTGCAGCACCCCAGGGGAGGCAGGGAGAAAGGGCTGGGGCGCCATCGACTGTGTCTAGCTGAAGGGCTTGGAAGTTCCCTGTGAGAAAGGCGTCAGGGCTAGGAGGCCCCTGGAGGTACAGATGTCATGAAGCAGGCACACGCCAAGTCCCTTCTCACTGTTTTAAATCACAAGCCTCATCTATGTCCTCTGCTTTTCCGAGAGGAAGGGAACAGATCAAATTGGRAAAATTGTGACAGAAAAATGACAGGCAGTCATTGGCACTTACATTCTTATCTGTAGTTTGTTTTTTGTTTTGCGTTTTAATTTTTTTTCCTAGAAAAGAAAAACACAACCGGAGGGCTTTTTATGACAAACTATCAGTGTCAGGATGGCAGGGAAAGAAAGGCCAGAGGCATGGGAAGCCAATAAAAAGTGGGTTCCAAATCACGTGGAACGGTCCACAGGGCCGTGCCCAGGCCTTACGAGATGACCGTTCACTTTGGCATGCGAGTTTGGTGCCTGGCCTTCTGGCCTGCTCGCTCAGACACCCACACTCAGAAAAAGCTGGCCACACCTCAGAAACCTGCCAATGACAAACTCAGGACTTGACAGACAGACTTATTAATTTAGCTCCTTGGCTCTGTGCTCAGGCATCACTCGGCAGCCTCTCCTGCCTACGGGACAGGTGTGCAGGAGTGAGGGCATCACCTCGGGGCACGCTTTGGCATCACAGCAGTGAACTCCAAGCAGCCACTCACTCGKGTGCAGACATGGTCCTCACCCACACAAGCATTTGTCCAGACATCCCTGGTCATTCTGGCCAAAGGCGCCTAGGGGCATGACAGTCCCCTTCTGCCACAGCTCAATGGCAGCATCCATTCTGCATTCTTGCTCCAACTGCTTATCACCTCAAGGATGGGAGGAGACTGGAATATGTTCCATTTTGAGCTCAGCACTCACTGGACAGGGCTCCAGAGAACGGAGTACGGACAGCTCCGTCGTCTGGATCCACGCTGAGGGTCTCTCCCATTTTCCCCACGTGATGCTCCAGGTCTCAGGCAGAAAATTCTGCTAGATCCAGAACAAACAGGGTAGCCAGAGCGATGGAGGGCAACAAAGAGCCAGGAGCACACTGCGACCAGAGTACATTCAAGAAGGGGGCAGGGGCATGCAGCGAGCTGTAGCCCAAGTCACATTCTAGGGGACACACAGAGTCTGAAGGCTGCAGGCAGGCCTGTTGCCTGGTCGGAGTTCCTATGTGGAGACAGGAGGGTCCTGCCCTGCTGTGGCCCCTGTTCCTGAGCTGAGGCCAGGTTCCGTCTCRGTGCTGCAGTCCTGAGGAGCACCACGCTGGCCAGCCAGCCAGGCCACAGTCCTCAGCCCTCTGAGGCGTGCAGCWATGGTTCCACAGGAAGGCCCCAGGGAGCCGCCATTACTGGGAGGAGGGAGCCAGGAGAGAGGGGCTGCMTTCTTCTGGGAGATACTCAGGGAGGGCCACCAGGGCTCAGAAGGAGCTGTGGTCCAAACTACTGCAGAGCCCAAAGGGATGGGATTCATTTCTGAAAAATGATAACAGCCTTGTCCCTATTTTAAAAAGAGAATATGGTGGTTGTTGCTTAGTTTTGTTTTTTCCTTTCATTTTAAAAGGCGAAGGGGCTGGGAGATGGAGTCCCCTTCACACTGGTCCTATATAGGCACCAGAAGGCGTGGGCTCCTGCCAGGTCCTGCTCTCCTTGCCTGGCTCCCACCACAGAAGCCAGGGTGGGCAGGGAGGGCGGCCCTCTACTCCCCGAAGATGACGGTGGTTCCTTCTCCCTTTAAGTCAGAGCCCGCAAAGAGAAGTCCAAAGACCAAAGTGCAGAGAATCCTGGGAGTGGGCAGCCTGGGACTAGGGCACTCCAAGGAAGAAGGAGGTGGTCAACCTGGAGCCACAGCTGTGGAACAAGCTCAGAGCCTGGTGACTCGAGTCTGCCAACATGGTCCCCTTTCTCTCTTGGGCCCTGTTGACAATTTCTCTCTCTGGGAATGTCCACTATTAGCAGCTCCCCAGGGAGTCCTGGTCCCAAAGATGTGGCCCACGATGGGGGAATACTTGTCTGACCATCCCTGGTTGGTAGTGACTAGTGAATGGACGGGAACAGAGGGTGGCAGAAAGGAGAAGGCATTATATAAAGTTGCTGGATCCCAGCTTTTGGGAGGAGGGACACATGGACAACCCTAAAGGCAGAATCTCTCCTGGGGAAGGTTTGGTGAGGATGGTCAGGGTCCTACGGTGAGGCCTATTGGGGAAGCAGGCCCTCTGGGTGTGAGAGGAGCTGCAGCACTGGGGGAGGGGCTGTGGAGGAAGAGCCCAGCTGGCATTAGGGTGTGTAGGCAGGGGGTGGCTGGAATTGGTTGATGACTTCATACTCCGCGGGATAGGGCTCGTTCTCCTCCATCTCAGACAGCAGCTCCAGAGCCTGCTCTTCTTCCTCTGTAGGGTAGTGGCGCAGAAGATTGGCTGCGGTGGCCAAGATTGAGGCTCCACCAGCTCCTGCCACCAGGTAGAAGCTAACTGCAAAGGTGACATAGACCTGGGAGCCATGGTACTTCTTATGTTGCTGCTGCTGGGCCAGGATGAGTTCAGAAGCCCAGTAAGAAAATCCGATGACGGTGGCACACTGCAGGACTGGGGGACAGAGGGACAGCAAGAAGGGGGATTAGCAGATGCCTGTGGCTAGGATGCTTGAGGACCAATCACAGCCTCTTGCTCCATTCTAAGTAGGAGCCTACCTGGCCCCAGGCCCTGCAAGGAGTTCTACGGCCCAAGGCTAGGAACAGCTATCTGACTCGGACTAGACCAGGCAGATTCTCTGTCTAAAGAATTTGCAGTTGGGATACTAAGGTGCCTGGGTATGCTGGGGACCTAAAAAGAATATATAAGAATATAAGGGCTGAGATTGTGGCTCAGTGGTAGAGTGCTTGCCTCGCATGTATGAGGCACTGGGTTTGATCCTCAGCACCACATAAAATAAATAAATAAATAAATAAAATAAAGGTATTGTGTCCATCTAAAACTAAAAAAAAAAAAAAAAAAGAACATAAAATGTGGGAGCTACAGTTGGCTGGCACTACCATTAAATCAAACACACACATCAGCCCAGCCTCCTGCAAAGGCCGGCCTGCAGAGAAGGAGAGCCCGCTGTGCTCTCAGGGGAAGTACAGGGCTGTGGCCTGGTTCCTTCCTTGCTCTTTCCAGGTCCTAAGCTCAAGTCAGCTTCAGCTGCTATTTTTGGAGAGCTGAGGGGTCTCTCGCAGGATTCTAACACTATCCCCTGTCTCCAGCAGTGCCCAGCAGGCACATGCTCCCTGCAAGACCATCTGCAAATGGCTGGAGCAAGCTGCTAATACCCAGTGAGTGCTCCGAGGGCAAGAGCTCGGCACTCGAGCACCTGGAGTGATGTCCGCCTGCAGAAATGAATCCCACCTGCCACTCCCACTCTAGGCCGGGTCCTCCCCTAGGACAGCAGGCCCTGGGCTTACCAGTGAGGATATGGGCAAAGGCATAGCGACGCGTGATCTTCAGGGCTGGATGTTTGGGTCCAAAGACATCCAGAAGGAAGGCGGAGAGGCTGCACAGAATGCCCAGGAAGCAGAAGGCAGCAATGACCCGCAGGAGCAGCACTGTCTGGGGGTTCATGCAGAAATCTGTGGGAGGAGAACCAAAGCTTCAGGCCCCAATCACACCCTGGCATGGGCAGCACCCCACCCCCACCATCCTGTGAACCCAGGGAGCCCTAGAGGACACTGGCTTGGCTCCTGCACGAGCTGGTCTGCAGAGGGACAACCTCCACAGCTGCAGACAGGAACCTTGGGTCCGTGTTCCCATGCACCTTTAAGGCTCTTCGTGCAGCATTCCCCTGCACTTCTCAGTGTTTTTAAAGGTCCTGGCAATTAATGAATGTGGTATGTTAACSCACTCTGCTAAAGGATGCTTGGGGCTTGTGGGGAAAGCCCACTGTCACCTGAGCAGAGACAGAAAGGCTAAGGCCAGAGATCAGTCAATATTGACCCTCTACTTACTCATTCCTTCCCTTTTGTACCAAAAAGAAGTTGAACCTGAAGATAGTAAGTGAAATAAGCAAACCCAGGACAAATACTGAGTTCCCTTATATGAGACACCTGAAATAGTCAAATTCCTAAAGACAGAAAGTGGAATGCCAGGGAGAGTATCATGTTTTATAATGTGTAGAGTTTCAATATGGGATGATGAGGAAATTCTGGAAAGAACAGTGGTGATGTTTGTGCAACGTGTGAACATTCTTTATGTCATTGAACTGAACACCAAAATAGTAAAAAAGAATTTTTTATACCAGGGATTGAACCCAGGGTGCTTAACCTAACCACATCCCTAGCCCTTTTTTATATTTTATTTTGAGACAGGGACCGTTAAGTTGCTTAGGAGCCTTGCTAAGTTGCTGAGGCTGGCTTTGAATTTGCAATCCTCCTGCCTCAGCCTCCTGAGCTGCTGGGATTACAGGTGTGCAACACCATGCCCAGCTAAAATGGTAAATTTTGTTCTTTTTAAATTTTACCACAATGAAAAATAAATAAAATGAAAAGGGGGAAAAGTTGAAGGTGTTTAGAGAAATCAGTAACTAAAAGAAAGTATTAAATGATGCAGAAAGACAGTAGACAGCACTGGCCCATTTGCTTTCACTCCCTCCCTGAACCCTAAAGAACAAGACTTTTTAACAAAGCATAGACCCAAAGAGAAGGGGGCTGGGAAATGAAATTATSAAACTAGATTCACACCACAAAGCCCCAAAAGGCTCAGAAATTAATAGACGTCGCCAAGGTGCAYGCATGCTCCCCCTAAATGAGAGAACAACGGAAAGAGAAGATGGGGAGGCAGAGCAATATTCAGAGCCATGGTGAAGGCAGGTCCCAGGGTGACGACAACCAGGCGTCCGATACAGGGATTTACTCTTCCTCACAAAACTTTAGCATCATTTGTTAACTACACAACACTGTTTTGATAGCCATGCAAACTTCCAAAGCTTCTAGAAGCACAGAATAAAACACAGTCTGATCCCAAAAGAAGTCAGATCATGATTAAGTATTTTAAGTATTAATAAAAGTTGAAAATGACCAGGCACAGTGGCACATGTCTGTCATTCCAGCTYCTTGGGAAGTTGGGGCAGGAGAATCCCAAGTCTAATGCCAGTCTCAGTCAGTGAGAACCCATCTCAAAACAAAAAAGGCTGTGGATGTAGACCAGTGGTAGAGCACTTGCCTACCACATGACGCCCTGGGTTCCATCCTAAGTACTGGGGGCAGGGGGGAAGAAAATGGATTTTGCTGACCTATCTGTAATCCCAGCWACTTGGGAGGAGGATTGCATGTCTGAGGCCAGCCTGGGCAATTTAGCAAGACCCTGTCTCAAAATTTAAAAAATAAAAATAAAAATAAAAAAATAAATTTAAAAAAAAGGTTAGGGAGCCAGGTGCAATGGCACATGTCTGTAATCCCAGCAGCTCAGGAGGCTGAGGCAGGAAGATTGCAAGTTCAAAGCCAGCCTCAGCAATTTAGCAAGGCCCTAAGTGACAGCAAGACCCTGTCTCAATATTTTAAAAAACTAAAAAGTGCTAGGGGGGCTGGGGATATAGCTCAGTTGGTAAAGTGCTTGCCTCGAATGCACAAGGCCATGGGTTCAATCCCCAGCACCACATACAAAAAAAAGTGCTGGGGATGTGGCTCAATGGTTAAGCACTCTTAGATTCAATCCCTGGTACCCAAAAAAAAAAAAAAAAAGGTTGGGGTGTATGGATGTACCTCAGTGGTCGAGCCCCGCTGAGTTTAATACCCAGTACAGCAAAACGAAAGAAAGTCATGGGCCTTAATTTCCCCTCCCCACTCTTCCAGGTGTTGGCCAGCTCTTTCATTCAGGCCACAGGTCAACAAATGATTTAAAAAACCYGGAAAAGGCTGGCCAGACTCAGGGTACAGGATCTCTTCCCAAATCTTGGTCAGGATGAGTCTGTGGGTGGTGATAATCAAGCCCTCATACACATCGATGTATCTTGGGTGCTGGCTGAAAGCATGTTTCAGGCCCCCAGAGGTCTGCTTTCTACGTCTGGAACAGGGCTGAGAAATCTGGATTTTGACAAGCAGTGCAGGTAACCCTCGAGCATATGGTCCAAGCCTTCTCTCCAAGAAATACTGTCCCAGATCCCAGAGGAAGGTGGAAGGATGAAAGAAAAGTCCAGGAGCGAGGGGCAGGGGACCCAAACCCAACAAAGCAGACTCAACCCAGCAGTTGCCCCACCAAGGGGTCTTGGGCAGAGGGAGGCACTGGACCTTTGTGACTGACAGGTATATCCTACCTCAGGCTCAGAATTCTTCATTCAAATGCTAGCTGGACCAGGACAAGGTTCATGTGCTTCCATCTGGCTTTGGGTCACTCATTGAGCTGCCCTTAGGGATGTCATGATCTCATCTGCTGACCATCTGTTTGGGGCCTGAACAGCCAGCCCCAGTGACGGCAGCGCACTGCCAGGGAGCGAGAGCTCTGCCCACAGCTGGACCAGCCTGTAGTGCATCCAGCCCCTGCAGCTGAGACGGCGTGGCAGGGCTGCAGGAGTCCCAAACCCCACAGCCCTCCATGAAAGAAATGCCTAGGAGGCAGGGGCTGCCCCTGCTTTGCTCTGATTACTGCTAGTAGCTGAGATGGCTCTTCTCAGGGTCTGCGCAGTACTTGGGGGGATGTGGCCGGACGCGAATGTCCTCTGCTGCTTCCAGGAATGCCCTGGAAGAGGTAGGCTGCTCTGCAGCAGGTCTCATTGGGTTCTACTCGCGTTACTCAATGCAGCCAGGCAACGAGTGAAGAAAGGGATTCGTGGGGCTTCAAAAAGACTGCTTTGCTGCTTCCGCTCACTGGTGAGCATAGGATGCTCATTTTATTATCCTTAAAAATGTGTACCTATTGGGGTTGGGGATGTGGCTCAAGTGATAGTGYGCTCACCTAGCATGTGTGAGGCACTGGGTTTGATTCTCAGTACCACATAAAAACAAAATAAAGATATTAAAAATAAATAAAGGTCCATTGACAACTAAAAAAAATTTAAAAATGTGCACCTATTATATACACTTCTATATGCCTGGGGTTCAAAATACATTTATTTTAGTAATAAGGAAAATATGCACGTGATTAAAGCTTCACCTTCCAGATATCCACCAGCCCCTGGCCAGAGACAAACACGGAGGGAGGTGCCCCGCATACCCCTGAGGGAAGAGCCAGCACACCCAGAGTCTAATGTTTTCTTAGTTCATCCTGCCACCACCTGGGGGTGGTTCATCACCCAGCTCAGATGAGGAATCAGGGCCCCAGGAATTAAGTGATTTTCTCCAGGTCAGAGTGACTTCACACCCTGCCCTGTGCTGCTTGGAATCACTAAGCCCCAGTCAGCTGCTTTATTTTCCCTAAGGGAGATAATCAATCAAATCCTAAAGAGGCGCCTGGAGTGGAGGGGTCAGGGGCTGACAAATGCTGCCAGAGCGTCCTCAGCAGCAGCTTGCTGGGCTGCTAAAGGAACAGCTTGCAGCAGGAAAACTCAAGGAAAAAAGAAAGGCAAGAAAGGTTAGGGTCATTAAATAACCGGAAGTGCTCATATGGGGATGTACTGGGCAGAATCTGCTTCATGTGGTGTTTGAGCCTCTGCAGCACTGTGGGCCAGGAGTCCAGTTCTGGGTAATGGTCAGGACACCAGGAAGATTCTGGACTGCAGGTTACCTTGAGCAAGTACTTGACTGCCCTCAGCCTCTTTCTCTCATGAATCAAATGAAAGCAATAATATCTGCTCCTGTCCCAGTCACAGGGTGCAATGAAGGGCCAGCTGATTCCTTGCCAATGACAGAGCAGCCACCTGTTCTGTTATTGTCAGGGGCTGTTACAACTGGGCCACAGCAACATCACCCAGTGTTTTTCTTACACCAACTTTTTGGACCACACAGTTGCCATGTGTGGGTCAGAAGAGGGGTCCACTAAAATCAGACGGAGGGCTCACTCATCAGAACCACAGCGTGGCTCAGAGAAGGGGCTTTCCATCTGAACCTCAGGCAGATTTGCCAGCTGCCTTTCTACACCCCAAAGCTGTGAGGAAGCTCTAAGATTTCATGTACATGCTTATCTCCACTGGATAGCCTCCTAAATTTCCTTGTTTTGGGGTTTTTTTTTTTTTTGCAGTGCTGGGGATCGAACCCAGGGTCTTGTGCATGTGAGGCAAGCACTCTACCAACTGAGCTATATCCCCAGCCCATGCCCTAAGATTTCAGAAGAAAGAAATTGTGAACTTCCTTTTGCATGACGATAATGGATGATCCAGGAGCCTGCTGCCATGTCTCCGATGGGACTTTCATTGAGAGGTCTCGGCACACAGGAAGGCAGCAGAGTTATCCCAGACCACTGAGGACTCAGTTCAGAGTTTTCCCTGGGGACACGGCCTTACTGTGTCTTGCTTCCCTTTCTATACAGCAGCAGGCAGGGCAGGCAACTGTACCTGCTCTCTCTCCAGAGGAGGACTAGAGGCACAGGCCCCAAGGGTTATGTAGGTGTGACTTTATTTGTGGAAGAGGAAGGCACGTGGGGCAAGGCCCTGACTTTAAATCCAAGCAGTGGTTAGGTCCACCATACTCTGGTGAAACATACACCCTGTCCTCCAGTTGTGCTCTAGCCTGTTTATTTTGTTAAACACTGCTTGACTGTCCCCTCGAGTCACCAGGAAAGAAGGCAGCTGCTATGTAATAGGATCCCAGGGAGCTGACTTTGCCCAAGGTCACTGGTGAGTCACAGGGCTGGATTTGTTTTGAAGGCCCTGGCTCTTCCTGTCTACCTGCCCATTACTCTAACCCCCTCCTGACCTATGTGGGCTGTAGGCAGGAAGACTATAGTGGCTTCTGACCAGCTTCCTGCTGCTGTCCCACCTCCCTCCTCCTCATTGGGTCCCTGTGAGTTAGAGGCACTTCCCCATTGTCCCAGTCCCTCTCTGTGTGCATGGTCCTACCTGCCAGCCTCTCCTCACTGACTTTCTTAGCTTCTAGACACATCTCAGGCCTCCAACAGGGCCCTCTAGTGTCCAGCCASGTCTTTCCCATAGACAGCAATGATGCTAGTCCAGATGACTAAGGTCAGGCCCTGCAGGGCCTTGCAGTGCCAGCTGCCTCATTTCCACCCGCAGGTACACAGGCCCTCTCAGGAAAGCCCTGGATCCTCCAGTGGCTGCTGTCAATCGTGAGTCACCTGATTCCAAATTCCAAACTTCCTCATTCTCCAAAGATGCTTCCTGAGGCTGTTCATGGAGCTGTCCTTGCTGGCCTCACCGGGGAGACAGAAAGGGGGTATGGGTCACCCCTTCCCCAGGTCTGAATATTGCTCTGAACCCAGAGCCAAGTTCAAGAGCTATGTGTTGAGCAGGCAGCCCTTGGGGGTTGGAAGAATTTAGGACAGAACCTTCTGAGCTGGGCTGCACTTGTTAAAGCCTCTTTGGTTGAGTGGAGGATGAGTGGCTTTGCCTTGGGATCACCAACCTGAGCCTGATCACTGAGGCAGAGGGGGACAAAGAGCACAGCTCTGGCTGGGCTTGTGATCAAAATTCAACCAGAACGGGGAAATGATAAGCCTTGGGCATCTCTTTTTTTTTTTAAGAGAGAGTGAGAGAGGAGAGAGAGAGAGAGAGAGAGAGAGAATTTTTTTTTTTTAATATTTATTTTTTTAGTTATCGGCGGACACAACATCTTTGTCGGTATGTGGTGCTGAGGATCGAACCCGGGCCGCACGCATGCCAGGCGAGCATGCTACCGCTTGAGCCACATCCCCAGCCCCAGCCTTGGGCATCTCTGACTAAAAGAAACAAAACTGAACACACTAAGGCGGGTGGTAATAGAGAATGGATTTCGGCATCAATGCCACCMAGATTAGCTGTGTGCTCCTGAGCAGATTACCCAATGTACCTGAGCTGAGACGGTTGTGAAGTGGGGCTGATGACCGTACCTACCAAAAAAGATGTTTAGCAGAAACCGAAAGGTGACATAGAGTGTACTTAACATAATGCCAACACTAGYGCTGGTGCGGCCAGTTGGCCTGCCCCACTCCTCATGGCACGAGGAAGCCTGGCAGGTCTGTTCTTCCCCTGGAAGCATCTATCCATCTGTGCCCAGCAGCTCTGCTCCTCTTGAGATGTGAAATATCCCCAGGTCAAGTTTCACTATCTGTCAGGTCCTGAGGATCAGCATGGTCGCCCAGGATGCGACATGTCTGAAAGCTCACTGGATACCAAAACCAACAGGTAAAGAAAAGGGAGAAGAGGAGCAATCAGGGACTTCCTGATTCTTTGCCTTCTCCTGTTTGTGTGACAGCTCACAAAGCACCACTGCCAACTCTCCTGTGAACAGACACCATGTGTTCCTGCTTGCACTGGACAAGGAGACAGCCACGGGCAAGCCACAGAAAAAAGCCATGGGCTAAGACCTCTAAACACATAGCAGAAGTAATGTAAAGGTTAAGGTAACAGATTTTATGTAAGATGAAATCTGTTCTGCATAATTTCTTAGAAAGGGTAAATACATATGTGAACATAGGAGAACATACACCAAGAACTTCTTTTTATTTTTCACATGCCTTTGACAAGGATGCACACTAAGGCAAGGTCATTCTTTTTTTTTTTTTTTTGGGGGGGGGTGTGCCAAGAATTAAACTTTGGGCACTTGGCCACTAAGCCACACCCCAGCCCTATTTTGTATTTTACTTAGAGACAGGGTCTCACAGAGTTGTTTAGCGCCTCGAATTTTCTGAAGCTGACTTTGTTTTTTTTTTTTTTTTTTTAAAAGAGAGAGTGAGAGAGAGAATTTTCAATATTTATTTTTTAGTTCTCGGCGGACACAACATCTTTGTTGGTATGTGGTCCTGAGGATCGAACCTGGGCCGCACGCATACCAGGCGAGCGCGCTACCGCTTGAGCCACATCCCCAGCCCCTGAAGCTGACTTTGAACTTGTGATCCTCCTAAGTGATCTTCCTATCTCAGCCTACCCAGCCACTGGGACTACAGGCGTGTACAACCACGCCTGGTTTGTGAGATTATTCTTTGACAGTTACAGTAAAACAGAATAAAAACCTTAAATGAGAGACAGAATCGCTGTACATTGGTGTCACATTGGAGTCTTGGCTAGGCACCTAGCTGGGTCGCCTTGAGATCACTTCACTGTTTTGAGGCACAGCTTCCTGGATTTCTGAAATAAGGATGTGGGACCAGACTGCCTCTCCCTGGGTCATGTGAATTTTATGAACTCCCACACCCAGGATGATCTTCAAAGAGGAAGCACCATGAACTCTCCCTGTTTGTAGGTGACACGGAACCCCTGAAACTCCATGGGGTGAAGTGCAAAAGGCCTAGAGGAAGTGGTAGGAAGGTGGCAACTGTACTTCCCAGAAGGCAGATGCAGGGGGAATGTGCTGAGGGGAAGATCATGCAAATTCACTTGAATTTGATGGCCCTTGTGCCATCAGCTACATGACATGGAAAAAGCTGCACATCCCCAGGCCTCCATTGGTTTTAAAGAGCCAACCCAGGCCAGGGCACCATTCAGGGTGAAATCTGGAAGCAAACCAGAAGTCCCCAGCCTGTTCTCTATAAAATCATCCAAAAGCCTCTAAAACTCAAGAGAAGCAAAACATTAAGAGAATGATCAGAGGGCTGGGGTTGTGGCTCAGTGGTAGCGTGCGAGGCCCTGGGTTCGATCCTCAGCACTACATAAAAATAAACAATTAAAATAAAGATGATTCATGTCCAACTAAAAAATAAACATTAAAAAGAGAGAGAGAGAGAGAGAGAATGATCAGAGAAAGATAGCATTAGGCTACTACAGAATAAGATTTCTCAGCATAGATCTGCAGATATGATATATGACCCTATGCACAGAGGGGAAATAAGACCTTTTCACCAAACTCCAGGGCTTGAATCCTTCAAGAGACAACATACAGATATCTAACAGGAAGGGCTTCTAATACMGGGGCAGCAGATATCTGGAATACATCACAACCAGGAAGAGGCACAGAAGGAAACAGGAAGACTTTTAAGAATGGTTGATAAATGGGGTGATAAACTGTGATGTTTCTAAGGGATGTCTGGGGGTTCACTGACCATTTTTAGCTTAGAAATCAGATAGTATAGTCCTACCCTCACACTACACAGCCTTTACCCCCATTATAATGGAGGTAGGACAGGGCAGGATGAGGCACAGAGCTTCTTGAGACAGGCCCTCCTGTGGGCTCTGAACTCCTGCCTTGCCAAGTAAAGAGAACAGTCACTTTCTTCTGCCTACCTGAATGAGAAAACAACAAAGCAACTTTACCTCAGTTAGGCTACTTATAAGAGTTTCAGGAGCCAAATTCCAACTGTTTGTTGGCAATGGAACTGACTTCTGATGACCCAAAATGCCGTGGACCCCCTTTTTCTTTGAGAAAAGTACAAATACCATAGAATTAAAATATTTTTTAAAACCTAGCCATATTAAAAGTTCCTTTTTTTCTCCATCAATCAGGCTGACCTAAAGCTGCTTTCCTGTATCTCCCTATAGGTTCCTTAGAAGAGTATGGCTAATCACGACCCTTAGCACCCTTATCTTTTCTCCACATATAGCGCCCTTCCATGGGCAGAATCCTAAAATAACAAGGAGTCCGGATTAGCATGGCTGTGAGGAGTAGGTGCTTAGCAGAAGAACATTAGAATTAATTAGAGGTCGGACCCCATACAGAGCCACCTGGTGGGCATGGACACCAAGAAGGAACGGGTTGTTTCCTTCAACCAAGTGCTACCCCCTCCCCCCAATTATCTCTGCTTCAGCTAGTCCCACATACTGCACGCCCCCTGGCCCGGAGGGCAGGAGCACGGCGCCCTCACCTTTCAGCAGGTCCGGGTGCACGTAGCCCAGCACGTCCGAGACCCCCAGCTCCTGGCGGGAACAGGTGCCTCCGTGGATGTGCAACCAGGCGGGCTCGGCGAGGGCAGTGCACAGCGCAGTGATAGACAGGGCGCCAGGCAGGGCCGAGGCCAGGCTACGCTCCGGCTGCTTGGGCAGAGCGCTGCCTCCCGGACTCCTCCGCCGGCGCCCGCCGGGCAGCCCTGCGCCTCCAGGGGCATACATGCCCGGGGCCGCCCACCGTCGCTCTGCGGTCGCTGCTGGTCGCCGCCGACCTCCGCGGGGCGCGCAGAGCCTGCCTGTCCCTGTCCCGGGAAGGAGAGCGATGCACTGGGTTACCGGCGCGAGGCTGTAAGAGCCGACACCAGGGGGTGGGGGGTGGGACCCAGGGCGGAGCGGAGGCTGGAGGACTGCGGGATTCGGGGGGCGGGGACCGGGGACTCTGGATTAGAGATGCGGGACCCAGGCAGAGAGACGGTCGGGGACCAGATGGGGTCTGGGCACACCGGGACAGGGAGGGCGGAGGTACTGGGGATCGACCACTGGTGGTGGGATGTCTGCACCCCGGAGTCTGGGCCAGAAGGTGCCCAGGGTCGGAGGACGCGGCTGGGCCGCGGGGATCCGGGACCGATGGTCGGGGACCGGCACTTTGGGGTACAACCTGCGCGGAAAAAAAGACCCTCCCCATTCTGCCCCCTGCTTCTCACCGGTTAGCAGGCCTCAGGGCTGGAATGGCGCCGCTCCGCCCCGTCACGGGCTTCTTAGCTGCCCGGGGCCGAGCTATCCCAGGCCCCAATCCCGCAACGCCCAGACCGACCCGGTCCGATGCACTTCCGGCTTCCTCCTCCTGGGCCACCACCTCCTCCGGCGTCGGGCCCCGTCCCCCGCGCGCGTCACGGCGTGCGCGCGCCGCCAGCTCAGCGCAGGGCCTCACGGGACTTGCAGTTCGCTGCGGGCCCGCGATTCTTCTGCCGTGGGTGGGGCGTAGCAACTACAACTCCCAGAGGGCCGCGCGGCCGCGGGCCCTTCAGTTCCCAGGACGACCCCGGCCCGCGGGCGGAAGCCGAAGCTTCGTAGGCCGCTGGAGCCTGGAGCTGGCGACACCGAGACGTGCGCCTTGGGACCTGCTGTCGGCGCGCCAACTCTGCCCACCACTTCTTGCCCCGCGCCGCCATGAAGGACTCGTTGGTGCTGCTTGCCCGTGTCCCGGCGCACCCCGACTCCCGCTGCTGGTTCCTGGCCTGGAACCCCGCGGGGACCCTGCTGGCTTCGTGCGGTGGAGACCGTAGAATCCGCATCTGGGGCACCGAGGGTAAGGCCTGGCCTGGGCTGCTTGAGCCTGGCGCATAGTGTGAGTGCCCGGGAAGAGGCGACTTTCGAATGGCTATCAGGAGACGAGCTCGTCAAAGGAAGGAGTCTTGGCGCGTCTGCAGACGGCCTGGGACCGCTGCCGAGGGTGGTCGGATGGTAGCCTGTGGAGTGACTTGCAACTGGATGGGAGCGTTTAAATTTTATCTTTAGGTCATTGGGGAATGTTGGCAGTTTCACATTGGGAGGGTGAAGCCTCAGATTTGATGTGGAAGGCTTCTTCCAGAGGAAGTAGTCAATTGCATCTTCATAAAAGYACATTGTTAAACTACGCCGATTTGGCCTGGTCAGACAGCAGGCTCCAGGTATAGCTTCTGTTATTGAATGGCAGTGACAGTGCTCCAACACCTTCTTGTGCATCCAGCTCCAGAGCCTGTCTTGTCCTCTGCTTGCAGGTGACAGCTGGATCTGCAAGTCTGTTCTTTCTGAAGGCCATCAGCGCACTGTGCGGAAGGTGGCCTGGTCCCCTTGTGGGAACTACCTAGCCTCTGCCAGCTTTGATGCTACCACTTGTATTTGGAAGAAGAACCAGGATGACTTTGAGGTAACCAGGCTGCATGGGGCTGGAATCATTGTGTGCTCTCCAGGGCAGGTTTAGGAACCTGAGCCAACCTAGGTCAGTCAGGCTATAACAGTCAGAAGGCTACARCCTTCACTTAGAAACTGTGACCTTAAGTTTTGGCTAAGTTCTAGGAGTAACAACTGCTGTTAATTCTCATTCCTTTCTCTTTTCAGTGTGTAACCACTCTTGAAGGCCATGAAAATGAGGTCAAGTCAGTGGCTTGGGCCCCCTCTGGCAACCTCTTGGCCACCTGCAGCCGAGATAAGAGTGTGTGGGTCTGGGAAGGTGAGTCCTGGTCCCTCCAGGTTGGACAACCAGCTCTTAGACATCCCTGAGTCCATGACAGGATCACATCTTGGGCTCCTTTCTGTTTTTCTCCCATAGTTGATGAAGAAGATGAGTATGAATGTGTCAGCGTCCTCAATTCCCACACACAGGATGTCAAGCATGTGGTTTGGCACCCGAGCCAAGAGGTAAGAATTGGGCCAGGTCTCTTGGTGGGAAGGAACTTTGGCATGCAGGCTTGTGTCCAGCCTTCCTCTGCTCTGCAGCCTCTACTTGGCTTTTATAGGAATTTCTGTGGCCAAAAAGATTAGTCTCTGTATATAAACAGATCCCTGGRCCTGTTCTGGCAGGGGGAGGTATTGTAAATGACAGGTATTGCCTGGGCCATGCAGACAACTGCTGGATCTCCTTCCCTCCTCCCCCAGCTATTGGCTTCTGCTAGCTATGATGACACAGTAAAGCTGTACCGGGAAGAAGAGGATGACTGGGTATGCTGTGCCACCCTTGAGGGCCATGAGTCCACTGTGTGGAGCTTGGCCTTTGATCCCAGTGGCCAGCGACTGGCATCTTGCAGTGATGACCGTACGGTGCGCATCTGGCGTCAGTATCTGCCAGGCAACGAACAAGGTGAGGGTCCAGTAGTAGAGCTAAAGGGACAGACCYCTCCATCTAGAGGTGTGCCATCTGATAGGACACATCCATGAACCATAGCARACTCAGGTAAAAAGTAATGTGCCACAAGAGGGCTGCAGGTGGTGCTGGGAGAAAGGGGGAAGGCTGTGCAGAACGGCCATCTTATCCAAATCTGAAAGGATAGGTAGGATTTTAACACGAGAATTTACCATGAGAATGCACAGTAAAAGCCCAACAGCAMAAATAGAGGTTGGTGGTGGGAATGCCTAGACTTACATGAGGAATAGTGACACAGGATTTGGGGAGAAATAAAGGGGGCTGGCTTGACTCTTGGTGGCATTAAAGGGCCAGCTAACTAGTCAGAGCCTGCAGCAGAATAAGGAAATTTTCTTCTCATGAGTCTGCTTTCTGGCCAGTGTGTAAGGCAGATAATGAGGGTGGGGACAGGATTAGAGATAAGGGCAAATGATGGTTTGAAGGTTGGGGTGAGGGAGGGCAGGATAGGTTTTCCTCTGCAGTGGTGCAGTGACTCCCCAGAGGTCCCCAGGACCTAGACACATCTGGGGCTTAAGAGAAGTCTGTCATGCAGGGGTGGCATGCAGCGGTTCCGACCCCAGTTGGAAATGTATCTGCACTTTGTCGGGCTTCCACTCCAGGACCATTTACGACGTTGCTTGGTAAGATCTCYATCCCCGACTTCCCCATCTACCATAGCAGGGGTTTTAGAGATGTCAGAACCCTGTACTGCCCTCCACCATTTCGGGAGTATGTGGGAATAAAGAGCAGCTACCCTAATGGCTGTCAGATCAGGCTTGTCACCTGGGTGCAATGGTACCTGTCTGTAATCCCAGTGATTTGAAAGGCTGAGGCCCTAAACAGCTTAGCAAGACCCTGTCTCAAAAATCATCATCATCATCATCATCAAAAAGGTGTTGGGTATGTAGCTCAATGGTAAATTGACTCTAGGTTCAATCCCCAGTACCCCCCACCCCCTCCAAAAAAAAGTTAGGCCTGCCTATGTGTTGGCTTGAAGTTGGCTGGCCTAGTGCTTAAAGGAGGAGGGAGCAGACTTAGACCCAGKCCTGTCCCAAGATTAAGATCCCAGACTGTGAGGGCAGCATCAGCCCTTAGGGCTCACATCATCCTGGAATTTGTGAATTTGTGAATGAGGTCTTTATAGTTTGGTAATAATGGAGGCTAGAAAAACCATACCATTCCTATAGGAGAAGAGGTCAGAGAGCAATTCTGACCATGAGAATTGGATCTAGGAAATAATTCTAAACCATGAAGAAAATTGATGTGCATCCAAGCTTTATGTATATTAGCAAACATTTGAGAATAACAAAATTCAACAAAAATGGATTTACATAAATTATGGTAAAATTCAATAGTCWGTTTAATAACTGTTTTAAAAAAGGTTAAGAATACTTTATGACATGGGCAACTGCTATGCCACATGAGAAAAGTTCCATTAAGAATTGTGTAGGTTATATACTTCAGGCTAATTATACCAAGGGAAGCTGAGCAAAGTGGTGCACACTTATAATCCAAGACTCAGGAGGCTAAGGCAGGAGGACCACGAGTTTAAGACCAGCATGGACAATTTAGGGAGACCTTGTCTCAAAAAGTAACAAGGGCTGGAGACAGAGCTCAGTGGTAGAGCACCCCTGGGTTCAATTCCTAGTTCTACCAAAAAAATTTTTTTGTACTGAAAGCTAAATCAAAGCACCTAAAGAGGGCCATGGTTTGGCTCGTAGTTGGAAAAGCTCTTCCAGAAGTCTTTAGTCTTCCAGCTAAGGCTGGAGGTTTGGGAAGACAACAGGTACAGGAATTGCCAGGTCAGGGAGGCAGGAGCAACCTGCAGACCTACTGGTGCCTCTGTTCCTCCCAGGTGTCAGCTGACAGGGGCCCTGGCCACCGCTTGTGGGGATGATGCCATCCGGGTGTTTGAGGAGGACCCCAGCTCAGATCCACAGCAGCCCACGTTCTCCCTGGCTGCCCACTCRCGACAGGCCCATTCCCAGGATGTCAACTGTGTAGCCTGGAACCCCAAGGAGCCTGGGCTCCTGGCTTCCTGCAGTGATGATGGGGAGGTGGCYTTCTGGAAGTATCAGCGGCCTGAAGGCCTCTGAGCTACTACAACTTTAGAGTAAAGGTTCCCCAGGAAGTTGAAAGACTCCTAGTCCTCAGGGACCTGGAAAAGCTTGCTTGACCTTCATTTAGCCTGGCTCACCTCTCCTGAGACCTGCGTGGCAGTGTGGAACCACAGGACTTTCCCTCCTTGGTCCATAAGGACCTTGGTAAAGAGCCACAGGATGTGAGTACATTGTTAGCCACAGAGTTTTTTGCTTTAGGGGACAGTGTGTTACATTTGGGGGGATGAATATAGTGTTTATAATCACCGCATACGTGTGTGTTTCTGTATGTAGGTGTGCAGCAGGGAGTGTACTTCAGACCTTCCTGACAGTGTGAGCTTTATAGAACTAATCCATTCAAGTCCAAAGTCCTACTTCATGAAGACATTCAATCTTTCCCATTGTGGATTGTCTAAGTCCTGCTTTCCCTCAGAAAACCTTACATACCTCTTGTGCCATTATTCTGATGCCAACAGAGGAAATGAAAAAATAAATGGGAAAGACATGAGTCCCAAAAGGGAGAATTATATTTGGCCACAAGCCATACTTTTTCAGTAAAGATGAAAATTGGATCTCAACTTGTTGAAAACCATGGGTTTGGATGTGCTGGTTGTCCCCAAGGCACAGCCTTCACTCCACTTGTTACACTGTAGAACTTGTAATCTTAGATTTTGGAAAGGTATCTAGAACACTTTCTCAAGATCCTGGAGATCCTGAGACTCTTTTGGGGATTGGTACTGAGCACAACCATGGTAGTGACCCCTAACTAGTAGTAGTAGTTGTCACTGCCTGGCACCTACAGTAAACACACTGCTGACTCCACCTAGACGTGGCCTTGATAGAAGCAGTAAAAATGGTTAACTGTATTAAATGTTACCCTTGAGAACATTTATAACACTGAGAAAATGGGAAAGAAGCATAAAGTACTTCCTTCCAGTTTCAAGTATGGCTGTCTTGAGGGAAAGCACGTGTATAGTTGAGTCACAAGCTGTTAGCTGCAGTCTGCATGGCACTCGTTTTTACTAGGAAGACTAGCAAATCCTAGTATTGGTACTTGGTTATTTGGCTGACATCTGGAAAATGAAAAGATGAACCATTTATTGTTAGTAGTCACTGCCAATGATAAACTGAAAGCTTATGTCAGAATAAGAATTTCTGAAAACTTTTAGAGCCACCACCATGAGCTTTACTAGTAGTCCATGAGCTTTACTAGTAGTTATTTGTTATTGCTTAACAAATGTGATTTGTGTAATGAAAGGTATTGACATTTCAAAGATCTGTCATTTAACAAATTAGCATTTTTCTTCTCCCTGATTTGTTTTGGAAGTTTTTTTTGTTTTTTGTTTTTTTTTTTTGTAAAACATGTAACAGTGGGGGGGCTGAGGCTGTGGCTCAGTGGTAGAGTGCTTGCCTAGCATGTGTGAGGCACTGGGTTCAATCCTCAGCACCACATAAAAATAAACAAATAAAGGTCCATAATCTATTTATTTATTTATTTTTGTGGTGCTGGGGATTGAACCCAGGACCTTGTACATGTAAGGAAAGCACACTACCAAMTGAGCTATATCCCCAGCCCAAAGTCCATACATCTAAAAAAGAAAAAAGATATAACAACGATGAGATTATTTTTAAACAAGTTGTTTTAAAATTTTAAATATAGCAAGTAAAAAAAGAACATAACCTCAATAAAAAAAAACAAAACAAAAACTTTGGTTTAATTTTTTACAGTGTAAAAGGGGTTTTGAGACAACTGCCAATCTAAGGAAATTGCCCTATGGAATCYACCCTCATTACTGGGGCTGGAACCCAGGGCCTCACACGTGGCAGGCAAGCATTCTACCAGAACTACATCCCTAGTGCTTATCTTAACACAGGGTCTCCCTAAATTGCCAGGCTGACCTGAAGCTTGGAATCCCCCTACCTCAGCCTCCCCAGTAGCTGGGATTACAGATGCACACCACCACAGCCAGCTACCTTTTATTATTTTTTAAAATATATATATTTAGTTGTTGATGGACCTTTATTTTATTCACTGATTTATGTGGTGCTGAGAATCAAACCCAGTGCTGCATAAGCTAGGCAAGTGCCTTGCCCCTGAGCCACACCCCTCAGCCCCAGATACCTTTTAATTTTGATCACATTTATTCCTAAAGAACAGAAGGCAAGAATTTGAAGAGACTGAGGTGTGCATTACAAAACCAGTTTACAAGCCTGTTTTGCGCCCAGCTGTGCATTTTAACCCCTTCTGGGACTGCAGACCTGAGAACCCTCTGAGTCCTACCTGCTAGATGGAGGGGCTCCTGCAGCTGGCTGCTGTGTAAGGCATTGGTGTGTGTATCACAGCCCAACTGAAAAGAAGCTACCTGCCCATGTTTCTTCCTCTAGACTAAAACCTAACTAAAAGGCAGGTCTGTCCTCCACAAGTCCTCGATTATCAAGTTCAGTGGCTAGAACAAATCTTTTGGCCAAGGCACTTAGGTTGGAGAAAGCAGCTTTTAATTTGGAACTACTATAAGGACAAGTGATCTCTCCAAGTTATTTATTAGACTGTCTGACACAAAAGGAACTACAAAGAACATGCCCCAAAACGCTGGACATGGTTCATATTGAAACAACATGTGCCAGATGCTGGACCCAGAGCTTGGACTTCAAGGTGGAAAGGGGAAAGTGCAGGTGGGCTGGGACAACTCCAGCCCTRACTGGCTAGACCTCAGGCAAGACCAGACACCTGGTCTCACAGCCAGGATCCCTCAACTGCACACATTCTTGACTCGGGCTGAACTCTCTCTGAAGTAACCACTCAGGACTCAATCAGAGTCACTGTCTGTCTCCGCTTCTTTCACATCCACACTGAATTTGTACTCCTGGTCACAGCCCATGTAAGCATCACTCATGAAGTAGAGAGTGTAGTTGTGAGCACCAGTGGCTGGGGCCACAAAGTCCAGCTTCACCTAGAAAGAGCAGCAGGGAATCAGGACATGGCCCCAGGGGAAAGTGTTCTCACCCTGCCCCCACCCAAGACAGATGCAGGGCCAGTGGCCACTCTCACCTTGGCCTTCTGCTGCAGGGTCAGTCTCTTGATGGAGATGAGGCTGTTGGACTTGGCGTCTCCGATCACCACCCACCAGCCCTCTTCACGTTTCTGCAGTGACCAAAACCCAAGAATTTCAGCATGTCAAACTGGATGGCTATAGGCAGCTGTGAGAATGGTCACAACACCAGACACATTCCCAGTGTTCCTTCCGGTAATGCYAATAGATAAAAATAAGATTTTGAAACCATCAAAAGGTGTCCCAGGGGTTTGGAGGATAGTTAATGGCTTGCCTACCAYTGTAAAGCCCTGRCTTCGATCYCCAGCACCACAAAAATAAAGTGTCTCAAAGGCTTTCATCCTGCAGTAGACACCTCATCTGCTGGTCCTAGCTCATTTCCTCCCCCAGGATACCTCCTCATTTAGTATTTGCCTTTGAATCCAATGCCACCACCAGAAAGCTCATCTTGGGGGGGATTTGTTCCTCAGAGTCCTTTTTAAGCACAAAGCAAACAGGCCAGAGGAGAAATCTTAACCTGGAGACAAACCTGCCACAGAGGATTCAAGGCAGATTCTTCTGAAGCCCTGCCTGGGGGAGACGCCCTCCCTGCTGGCCACTCTACTGTCAGAGTGCCSGTGGCCTAGTTTAATAAGCTCTCCTCACAGCCTGCTGAACAAATCAGCCACAGAAATAAAMGTGAAGTTCATCTGGCTTCTGTGGCCAGCCTGCAATAATTCTCCCACAAAAAGAGGATCAGATTTCCTTTCTGGTGGTAGAGAAACAAGCAACTAGATGCAAAGTGAGTGGGAGTAACATACAAGAAAAGTGTCCTGGAGCCATTTAAAACACAGGAGATAACATTCAAGAGACTGACAACACTACCCCAATGTTTTTAATAATGATGKCGTCTAAGTTGTTCCAAAAGCAAGCAGGTAACCCCATGGCCCCTAGAGGAGTTTTCACTTCCCTCCCGTAATGGGAAAGCACACCATGCCCAGAACAGGGCCTCACCCTAACACCAGGACGTACCTGTGGGAAGAGAGGCGCAATAACAGGGCCTGTGACTTCCTCCTCTCGCTCYAGCTGCACCAGAACCACCACTGGCCCACCGCTGTGGGGAGAGCAGCGCAGCACATGAGTGATGTGGCCGTGGCCTCTCAGCATAGTGTCATGCCGTGCCCACGGGGACCCAGGGTGGTACCTGGCTCACCTGCGGATGCTGTCCTTGTCCACCACCTCATAGGACAGTTCGATATTCGGGTAGCGGTTGCAGAAGCGGGCTACATCAGCGATCTGGCCATCCGTCAGCTGCAGCAGYGCGTTCCGCTCCTCATCCTCCATCTCCATAATGTCAAAGACACTCTCCACTCCCTGCCGTGGGCGCACAGAGGTCAGAGGACACAAACCACAGCGAATGGCCCTAGCTCCAAGGACCACTGTCTTGACTTCCCACACTAGCCATGTCTGAAGGTGCTCTGGGAAGAACAGCCCATGGCTGGCAGCCTCCAGCATCTGGAAGCTGGGCCCTCGGGGAACCACAACTGCACTTCCCCTACTGAGACCTCCCACGGCCCTCCCAGAACAGGATTCTGGGCTCTCGGGCTCACCCCCCAGCACTCCAGGCCACCCARCCCACCTTGTCTGTGCAACGTTTGATGTGTTCTGAAGTGAAGTGTGGCAGCTGCTTCAGATATGAGTCCTTGGACCACATGGCCTGAGTGACCATCTGGGCTAGTTCCATGGCTGCCAGAGCAGGGCTGAGCCATCCATTGCTGGACAGTACGTCCACACAGGCCTGAATGAGCCGGATTGCCTGAATACGGGCAGAGTACAAGAGCAGGCGGGGTTGGAAGCGAGGCTTCCCAGGCTGCCAAGGGCCCACCGACCCCACCCCAGCAACGCCATGCCACCTTGCTAAGGATCTCCTCAGTGTCTGACTGCAGCTCGGCACTCAGCTGCATGCGGGACAGGTGAGCCTGCAGGAGCAGATTGGTCTTCACATGTGGATCATTGAATTTAGGGTTATTCAGCTTGTGGGGGACCTTCTGAGCCAGCTGCAGAGGAAGAAAAGAGGTGGTGCTGAACAGATGACCCTGCCTCAGACACTCAGGCCAAAGGCACTATGTGGTTTAGACCATGGAGGGTGAGGGTGGGGATGAGGGTGATGTGCGGGGAGCCGGGTGATGTGCGGGGAGCCGGGTGATGTGTGGGAAGGCGGAGCTGTATGGGGGTCTCGGTGGCACTGCAACAGGTACATAGGCCAAGCTTCAACTCCAGGTTGTTCTTCTGAGCCTGATACTTACCTGACGCAGAAGGTTGTCTTCGTGGTGCCGGATGGGAATGTTCTCGTACTCTGCTGCATTGGAGATGATCTCGATTAGCCCTCGCACCTTGGTCTTGGCATTCAGGGACATGCTGAAGAGCTCTGCCAGGGAAAGAGGAAACATGAGAGGAGCCAGAAGCAGATGGAA